AATTCTAAATAGCAAATCTCATTAAGATGAAATCCTATTCAAATAATCTGTTGACAAATCGCTTGAAACATGTAAAAAGAAACTACAACATGATAATGTGTATAAATAAAACAACACAAAAAATTATCACATGAACCTCTATAAGAACATCACACAAAATAATAAAATAATTAACAAAGGAAGGATAAGCAATGAACCTTTAAGCAAAAAATTTTCTTCAGAACTTGATTAATGCAAAAATAATTATGAGTCGAGCAAATACACCAAACCAAGGGCAAATCAGCAGATGAGCAGAAAATCTAGCGACGAACCTTCTAAAATTCAAGCTCGGACCAAAACTCGACTGTACCTCGTGAGGCTGCTGGTTTTTGGCGTGAGAGAGGCGACTATCAATGAAACTTCACAAGGTGTTTTTAGGCTTGAATTTTCGAAAGAAATAATGAAACGAGTAGAAATTCACTTAGTGCAGAATTTTTTTTTCTCTCTCAATTCTCTCCTATATTTTTCCTTCCTTCTCTTCTATTTATAGAAAAAAAATCAGAATTTTTTCAGATTTGTTTTAAAATTATTTTATTATTTTATTATTTTATTATTTTTAATTAAAAAGAATTCTCACTTTCTATTTTTCTTCTTTTAAAAAAAAAATAATTCACCACTTTCCTTTACTTTTATTTTTTAATTTCTCACTTTTTTTACTTTAATTTTTTTTATTTTTCACTTATTTTACTTTTCTATTTTTAATTTTCACTTATTTTACTTTTCTTTTTAAAATTTTCACTTTCTTTTACTTTTAAAAAAAAATCAGCTACCTTTACTTTTATTTTTTAATTTTATCTTTCTTTTACTTTTTATTTTTAAAAATTTTCACATTCTTTTACTTTTTTAAAAAAAAATTTCACTTTCTTTTACTTTTTTAAAAAAATAATTTCCATCTACTTTTACTTTTAATTTTTTATTCCATACTTTTAATTTTACTATTATTTTATTCCCATCTGAAAATTTAAACAATATATTAATTTTTCGGTTTTTTTTTAAATTTATTTTATTTTAAAATAAAGATAAAAAATAAAAATAATACTAATAGTAATAATTTGACCTTTTAAATTATTTTTAATTCTTACCCTATATAAAAAAAAATATAACAAACCTAAAAAAATAATATTAAATATAGTCAAAAATTAGGTACTCACAACTAAACCAAAACATGTTTGCTCCTATCATGGAGTTTGCAGTAACTAACACCAAAATACATTAAACAAGTCTTGCCAGATTTGCAACTACCTACAACAACCAAGATCCCTGGATTTGTGAGTTCCCATAGAGTTTTCTGCTCTTCAACTTCCCCACTTGCTTTTATCTTGCCACTTTCAATTGATTTTCAGTTACTACGTCTTTACCTTTCCAAGTGAGCTTAGTATGTGAGTAAGGAAGATCAGTGGAATAACTGACAACAGTAGTATGATCTCCTCTGAAAGAGGTCACTCTTGTCCCAGCTGACATCATTTGATTCTGCCTCATCGGCAGTCTTGTTTGATCTTCAGAAATAATCTTAGGCATTAAAGCAGGGTCACTTTCATGCTCACTACCATCACCAAAGGGTTATGCTTGGTGTCTTGGTACTCTAGGTGTAGGCATGAACACAAATTCACTTTCATGTTCAACTTCTTGTGTTGGTTTAGGGGTTGAACAACTAACATCCTCAACATTTCCTTTAGCACCAACTTATAATTAAAAAGAAAAACTTTTTTGTTAAAGAACTGCAATTATATAAGAAGAAAGATAAGTTAAGAAGCAAATACCTTGCATGTCCTTGAATTGTGGTCCAGTTCATCACAAATGCTACATGTCATTCTAGTTCCCTTTCTTGATGCAACCCACTCTCCTTGTCTCTTGTTAACCTCATCCTTTTCCTTATTTCTTTTGACCTTTGGCTTTCCAATGGTTTTGGCAAGTGGAAGAGGTTCCATAGCGTGTTCTAGTAATACTTTCCATGACTTTTCACCTCTAATAGGAATCAACTTGGCCCTATATGTCATCAGGTAAGCGTCCTTGTTGTACCACCAACTAATTTCAGTCATTGGATCCTCTCTCTTGTATTTTAGTGTCCTGATAGCATGGGGCATGTGATACCAGTCAACTGCCAGGATCTACAAGTGCATTTCTTCTCCACTATGTTCACCCTATGTCTATCATTACCCTCAGAAATCTCATGGCCAGTTTCACCATTGAAATGAACAGTGCATAAGTTGGCAAGCTTCAAATAAACAGCATACAGCTTCATCAGTTAGGACTGAACTCACCTCCCCATGTTCTAGCTTCTTCTTCCTTCTCTCTCAATCTGTTCATGATCTTGATTCTAATATCCTCGAGCATCTTCATGATAGGCTTGCCTCTTGCTTTTAAGATTCAAGAGTTGAAGGACTCTGTAAAATTATTGTCCACCATCTGATTTTTGCACAATGTATCAAAGTATGACCTGCACCAATTATGTGGTGGATACCTAAGCAACACCCATAAACAATTCACCAATATTCTTTAATTGATCTTTAAAGTCCTCCTCATAAGTGCTCCAAGCAGACCACCATAAGCATTTCTTCATGCCTCCTGAAATTATGATCCTCTTACTCCAGTTGGCTTCAATATGTCTCACACAAAACCTGTGATTTGACAGATGGAGGACAATTCTTACTGCTTCCAACAAAACCTGCTCATGTAAATTTAAACATAATTAACTATATAATAAGGATAAAATAACTGGAATAATCAATTAAACAAAATCATAACTTGTACCTTTTGCATATCAAACATAAAGGTAATACTGGTTCCATCTTCCAAATTTAGTGAGTGTTTCAGCAGCTCCAGAAACTATGTCCATGTCAAGGTATTTTCCTTGTCAACTATAACCCAGGCCAAGTGATAGAAATGATTCATGCAGTCTTATGCAATAACAACCAATAGTTGCCCCTTGCAATGACCCTTTAAGAAAGTTCCATCTAGTCCAATGAATGGTCTCAGCCCTTGTTTGAACCCCAACTTCATTGCATTGAAGCATATGTACATTCTAAGAAATCTTCTTTTACCTCCAGCCATGGCATCTTTTGATAAATTGATAACCATATCACTACCATAATTGCTCTCCCTAATCTCATTTGCATATGCTTCTAATATATTATAGTCATCTAAAAAGCTTCCATGCAATTGCTCAAGTGCCATCCTCTTAGCCCTTTTCAATGTGGAGTTATGTACATTCAATAAAAATTAATTTTTCAAATATAGTTTCATATCCTCTATCTCATACTTGAGGTTATTCTGCACCTTACTCTTGAAATATTGAGCTAAAGTTTTTGTTTTGGCTCTAGGATTCTCAAATGCATCTTCACAATTATGCTTTGTCTTCGATGCTTTTATCTTAAAGTCGAGACCTTTCTTATCTTCAGAGATGAGGCATACAAAAGGGCAGCATGCTATACATCTATACCTTACTCTTATTTTATCACTTTTTCTAAGCTTCAGAGGTTTGGAATTTGCAATAGCATAAAAGTTCATGACTTTTCTGGCCTCATACAATTCCTTAAATGTCATAGACTTATCAAGCTCTTTGTAGTGAGTAAGATTATCATTAACTTCTTTATCCTTTTGCATCATAAGTAACTCTAATTCTTCAAAGTCATATTCACTAGCATCTGAACCATAATCTGAACTTTTATCACTATCCGATTCACAATCAGTATCTAATTCACACTAATATTCACCTGAAATTGGCTCTTTGTAGTCTCCCGTATTGAAATATCTATAATATAGACACTATAAAACAAACATAGAGGGCACACATGAATAATTTAATAACTTTGACAATAAAATATTGAACATACAATAAATTACTGTATATAGTATAGTGGAAAGATTAAAGCACACTCTTTAAGAGATAAAGTACACGTTTCTGTCGATTTCAACAACCTAACCCTACCACAATAAATTACTCAATATAATACAGTGGAAAGCAAAAAAACAATTTCTTTAGGAAATAAAGCACATGGTTCTGTTGATTTCAACAACCCAACCTTACCACACCATGATAAAATATGTGAAAAAGACACTTGCAACCAAAGAAGAGGTAGCCCTAGGGCACAAATTGACACCACATAAGAAAACAACAAAGATAACAAACAAAAAGAGTACCATACTCACATGCAAACACTATGCTTCAGAATCAAAAATACCAGTACATGACAAAACCCTAAAAAATTACAAAAAAAATGACTAATCCCTTTTTTCGAGTTAGAGACCCAATAAATGGAAGGAGAAATTACCTAACTAGCTTCAGATGATCTTCAATTTGTGGTGTTAGCCCTTGTTCGATGGTATCATCCCCTCAAGTCTCAAATCGCCTATGTTGGAAGAATAGATTTAGAAATGGGGTTTGGAGTTTTTTTTACATACTTTATACGCTTTTTAATCCTATATTTGATTGATAATCAAGTATTTTTTATACGGGTTGATGGGTTATCAGAGCAGGCTTAAGAGAGATCCGCTTATGTGGATGCCATGTCAGCTAATTAATGCCTCTAAGAAGGCTTGTGTGGGCAGCCGATAGAATAAAGAAATTATTGGTCCAGTTTGCTAACGTGGGGGATTTTAATGGCCCAATTTGCTAATGGAGGATATAATTAAGCTATATCCAATAGTTTAAGGATATTATTGGACATTTTCCTTAAATTATATACTTAGAGCCCGTTTGGACATACAATTTTTTTCCTTTTTTAAAAATTTTCTTTTGAAAACAATGTTTGGTTATCTCATTCTTACCAAATTTTTCAATTTCACTTGAAAATCCATTTTCAAATTTAAAAAACTGATTATGACCAATTTTTTAATTAAAAATGAGAATTTGCTAGTTTTTTAGTGTTACAATTTTACCCTATATTTTTAAAATTTATAAAATGACCCCAACAGTTATTAACCTACAACTACCTACAGAAACACAAAACGCATAGGTCTTCTTCTCACCAAAGTGTGCGGCTGCCTTTGCCATCCCAATCCGGCAAGGGGTTGGCATCTCCCATCAGCTGCAACGATATTCTTTGACGGTAATTGCTAAAATTTACTATTATTTGCTTGATTTGTAAGATTTTTTCATAGATTTATAAACTCTTATATGTATGTGAGTTATTTCTGCATTGCAATTTCTTTGTTTGTAACTCTTCAATTTGTGTTTGTTTGAAACTATAATTTTTTCTTTGTTTGTGGTCATATACGTTTATTATTGACTGAATAATAACTTATTTCTCCCCACTTCTACTATACTCTGAAGATTTTTTCTTTTTTCTCAATTTGCTAGAAATCTTTTATGCTTTACTTTTATTGGTCGTGTCAATTTTATTTGGTTGGTGCAACGATGGTTCGGGCTTCTTGTATTATGCACGTCACACCTGAAGCGGGCTTTGAAATTTCAGACGAAAATTCTATGACTGCTCCGCCACCGGTTAATAGGGTAACTTGATTTGAAGTTTTATTTTCCTTTTTGTTCCTACGTGCGTGCCTTCAATATTACTTATAAGGCTTATTTTCAGTTGTTATGCACTCTAAAGATGAAAACTTTCATATGCGATTGATTGTTCTATTATTGTTATATTGTAGAAACGTAAAAGAATGAATAAACCACGTGGTGCACATGCTGAAAATTGGTTGGATGAGGACACGTCGATCCTCATCCATATCCTACATGAGGATGCAAGGAAATATGGGTTCAATAGTTCAACCCTTAGTGCTCCACGATGGAGGGAAGTTATCGATGAATTTTGGATGAAATCTGGCAAGAAAGACACTTATGACGAACATCACATTAAGTTCAAATAACAAAGGTTAAGGACAAACACGAAAAACTTCAGGAACCTCCTTAATTCTTACTCCGGCTATGGTTGAGATCCTGAAAATAACACAGTTATTTGCCCAGCTGATATTTGGAAAAAACATATGCTGGTAAGTTTGTGAGATGAGTAAAAATATGTATATTGTACCTTTATGCATTTTGAACTAACATATTATTTTAAATATTTTTCAGATAATGAAAGAAAATAAAATAAATAAATATAAATACAGATACAAGGGGATTGAACACTTTGACTTGTTAGAATAGATATTTGGGAATTCATTTGCCACGGGAAGCCATGTCGTATACAGTACAACACCTGTTTCCCCTCGACCATCATATAAAGCTACTGCAACGGATAATGAACCCTTTTCTTGTGACGACTAGCCTGTTGGTACCGGGCATGTGAATATGAATACAAGTACTGGTACTAGCAGTGGGAAGCGGACTATGGCAGATACATCTTTGGAGACTGATGGTGGAACATATACACGCCGTAAAAAAGGTCGTGACTTATCATATTGCAATCAAGATTATTTTATTGGGCATTTGAAGTGGAAGAGAGACTGGAAGGAAGCAAAAGAAAAAAAGAAGGAGGAACGGGCACAAGCATCGATACCTCATGAGATTGATGTCTACTCTGAACAAGTCGTGATTACCCAGTTGCAATTTGTCATGAAAAAGTACTGTATTGATGATAAGCAAATGTCTCTAGCTGTGCCTCACTTGCTTGACCCCAGCTTTCGTAAGATGTTCGTCCATGTGGCCGAGAAGTTTCAAGCTCAATAGGTTAAGGACTTGCAGTAAATTTAAGTAACCGTGATTGTAATTTGTTATGTTGTAATCTAATGTGATGAAGCACTAAACTTTATTATTTAAGTAGTACTTTAGTTGGGTATTATTGCCGAGTGTGATATTACAACATGACGTTATCTCTTTAGTGCAATGTTCTACTCTCCATGGGCATGAAACATGACACTTTTTATGCTGATCCATCTATTTATTTTAGTTATGTTTTTTTGTAGTATAGAAACATGACAATTTATTCTTTTTTGTTTTATAGGTTGACTGTAAGGGTGGATTTAAAAGAAATGAGCATATCCAGCAGTGACACTGATTCAGACAGTGATATTGAGGATTACATGATATGTGTTGTAATTTCTAATCAGATCAGACGAGAACAACCGTTATTATCTCGCAGGCCGCAACATATATCTAGACCAGGTATGGCATAGGTTGTTGAACTTCTCCAGGGACATCACATGCGTATGTATGAATCTATGCGTTTCTATCCTGAAATATTTTGCCGGTTTATCGGAATGATACGACAAAATAATTTGTTGCCAACCGAGCATCGCACCACACGTGTTACAATTGAGGAGTCCATGGCTATTTTTCTGACTGTTGTTGCACGTAACGATAGTCAGCGCTCGGCAAGTGAATATTTTCAATATTCGCTCGAGACAATCAACCGACATGTTCGAACAGTTGCTAAAGCAATTAGCCAGAGGGAGTGAAGGAGAGCCTCGAAATGGTAAAGAGCTATTTAACTATAGGCACTCCTCTCTTCGCAATGTAATTGAAAGAACTTTTGGAGCATGGAAAAGTAGATTCAGAATACTACGACAAGGCATGAACAATTACGATATCGACACGCAAGTTTGGATTGTGATTGCTTGTGGTGTGTTGCGTAATTTTTTACATGAACATCAAAGTAGTGATGAAATATTTACAGAGTATGAACATAATGATATAGTTGTTGATGACCCCGACCAACAACCGACTGAGATTAACAATGTTGCTTCGACTTCTCGGTCAGCTGATCAAGTAATGCATGATCGACGTGAAGAGATTGTTCGTACAATGTGGGAGGACTATATTAAAGAATAACTTGTTCATGTTTATGTTGTTTTTTGGCTTAAATTCCTTCTCTGTGTATTAGTAGAATTAGAAAATGTGATATTGATTTTGCATCTTCTGTGTATTGCAGTAAAGCAGAATATGATAACAGTTAAACAATATCATTTTGATTATTTATTTCAAGTAGGATAATCAAATTGGGGTGGTTTTGATATTTTTTACAAGTTGTGAGTATAAATCATGTTTTATGGTTTTAAAAAAAAAAAGACATCCAAACATGTTACAAAAATTATAGCCAAACACAACTTCATCTTCAATTGAAATTTTAGTGAAATTCCAAATTTCATTTTTTTTTTTGGAATGCATGTCCAAACGCCACTTAAGTCCGCTCCTCTTAACGTGGGTTCGCTATGGCACAAAAAAAAGTCTACTTCACATTTCAAAATTCAAACAGATTCAGAAAAACAAACCTTTGGGGTCTATGTATAATTTACTAAACTTCAGTACCCATTTAGTATTCTTTCCCTTATTTCCAAAATTACACCCTTGGCTTCCCTCTCTCTATAACTCTCCAATCTCCATCAACATCATCAATCATCAATTCTCAATCGGATCTTTCACGACCCGAATAATTTCAACTCTCGTTTGAACAAAAACCTAACCCTAATTCATTAATTTCCAATTCAAAAACTCATTCCGTTCACCCTCAGCCATGGCCAGCGATTCCAATGAACCGTCACGTCGCAAGCACCGTCGATCTTCTCCCTCCGATGAAGACGACACCGAAGAACCAATAAAACGCCGTAAGCACCGCCACCATCACCGTCACCATCGCCACCACCGCCACCACAGCAAAAAACACGAAGAGAAATCCGATTCGAAACCCGATAAGGACACGGGTAATCCGAATGATGAAATAGAGGATGTACCTCAACAAGTTGGTATTGTTATTGGCGTTTCTACTTTAGGGCTCGATTATGATATGGAGGAAGGTGAAATTATTGAGGATGATGTGGCGGCTACTGCTACAGTTGGTGATGGTCATGAATTGGACATGGTCTGTTCAGATTTCTTTCAGCTCTTATTTCTCTTATATATTTCGTGCTTACTTTTGTTTTTCCAGGGCCTGTTTGATTGCTGTTATGATTGACAATGCAATTTGTTTTAGTTTCAAAAAAATTACTAAAGTTATTTTCTGTTAGATTTAAGTTATATACACTGACAACACACTTAATTTTTACAGCATCAATGTAATTTAACATTAACATGTTATAACAGGTTACTTATCAATTATTGTACGTTACCAATTGCTGCATTAAATAGAGTTACCTGCAATTATTTTAAGTTTTTAAGTTATTTGATTGCTTAATATTTTTCTAAGCTGTCACAATCACTCGCTTAAAAGGTAGCCGCAGGTAACTCTCTTTAATACTAGCATTGATTTGTAACCTATAATAAATGGTAAGTAACCTGCTGTAACAGGTTACACTGATGGTGTTAAGAAATCATCATACTGTGGTGTATATAACTTACATTCTCTTTCTTATAAGTAGGGAAGAACTAATGTTTTTAAATGCAATATTTGAACTTTACGTAACCAAAAAGAAAGAGGTCCCATGCTTGGATTTTTATGATTTTCAGTGTCAAAGATGTGCTAAATTTAATATTTGTTTCAACTGTTTGATTAATAAGTATGTTGCACAAAATAGACATGAGAATTATGTATTCCATACAGAGCTTTGAACTTCATTATTACATTGTTGGGGGCAAAGTTACTCTAGGCGTTTCCTGATGACTGAGGGCTTTCTTTTTATTAGTAAGAAACTTTCTTATTATTGTTAAAAGTTTATTCTTTTTTTTAAAAATGGTAAAATGCTGTAAAATCATACTTTATCATTTAATTCTGCCCACATTTCTTGTTTAGGAATTGCATGAAGCTCAACAACAGGGGCCTGCAGTGGAAAAAATTGACCAGAATTCCACTGCTTCAGGACGGCACGATGAGCAAAGGAAAAGTAGGAAGGCTGATAATTCTAGAGAAAGAAAGTCTAGTGACAAGCATTTTGCGAATGGTAGTTGCATAGATGAATTTCATAAATTGGACTCTAAACCACAGAAGAAAGATAGTTATGCTGGTGAAGAAGTTAGAAAACAAAAGAGCTACGATGACGATGAGAGCCATTTACAGGATCAAAGAAAATCTTTGACTCCTGAAAGTTCTGGAAAGAGGCATAGATCTGTTGGGGTATCATCTTCTCACGATGAGCACCTTGAAGAAAGACATGTTACGAAGTTATCCAAGTCACCTGACAGGTTTAGAGGAAGATCACGATCCAAAAGCGTATTGGAGGAGTCTTTCCTTGTACCAAAGTCCCGTGAGAAAGATGATGCATATGAGAAGGAAAGCAGATATAGAAGTAACTTGGATGATGAAAAAATTGGACACAACAAGGACTATCGACATGGGAGCCGAGAGTCTTCAAGGGATATTGAAAAGGAGCATAATTCTAGTTACAGCAGACACTCTAGGGACAGGTATTATAGAACGGAGAGTGTAGACAGGTATCGGGAGAGTAGCATCGAGAATGAAAGGGATAGAGTGAGAGAGAAAGACAGGGAGCGTGAGTTGGCTAGAGAAAGGGACAGAGAAAGGGGAAGGGAAAGAGATAAGGATAAGGAGAGGGAAAGGGAGAGGGAGAGAGACAGAGAGAGGGAAAGAGAGAAAGCTCGAGATAGGGAAAGGGAGAGGGATAGAGAACGGGAATATGAGAGGGGAAGGGAGAGGGGGAGGGAGAGAGATAGAGATAGAGATAATTTCAGAGAGAGGGAGGAGAGAGAAAGGAGGAATAGGGATAGGGAAAGCAGAGGACGAAGTAGGGAGGCAGATAGAGATAAATATAGTGATAAGTCTAGCAGGCACCAGAGATATGATGCCCTTGATGATGGTTTTGCTTATAATAGACGTAATAGACATAATGAGACTGACATTCAGAGAGAAAGGACGAGTGATCACGCAAAAAATGAAAACGCAAAGCAAAAAGCTGTAGAGGCAGACAGTGAGAAATCAAAAAGGTATTGTTAATTCTTAATTAGGTACTTTTGATATTCGGAAACTCTTTAGCGGAGTTGATTTCCTTAAAGCGTGGTTTTTATTTTTCTCTTTGTTGATGTATTGCAGAGATGAAGTTGAACAAGAGGACTATCAGGAAAAAATTGCTTTCCAGCTTGCTGAACAGGAAGACGAAGAAGAACTTGAAAGAATTAAGGAGGAGAGCAGAAGGCGCAGGCAAGCTATTCTTGAAAAATATAAGAATCAGCAGTCCCAGAAGGAGCCAATTACTCAATCCGGGGACGTAGGTATAACTTCTTCGAGTTAAGAATCCTCATATATTTGTGACCATTGTCAAAAAAAAAAAAGGATCTCCTGATATAATATTCTAGTATGTTTTACTGTATTTCATGTTTCAACCTTGACCTTATCTAGAGCTCTACGTGAACAACTAAGGTCTTTGGTTAGTCCCTTTTTTTACTTTGTTTTTTACCTTCAGGTTTACTGTCTGTTATGCATGCATATGAGCTTTGAATGTGTAATTTTGCTAATGAATTGCCCTTCTTGCTGAGTTTAAGTGCCAAATTACTGCTTCTTTAATGAGTTTAATTTTGGATTTGAACTCTTAATATGCATGTTATGGAAATTAGGATGTTTTGTTGGATTTTGTCGCAACTCAGGTTTTATGAAGTTTCGCATTGCACCCCAGACCATCCTGATCTATGTGCTGAGATTTTATCTGCTGACTCTCTGCAAGTTTCTCTTTTCTGGATTGAATTTCTGGTCTTAACTATGTTTTTTTATTTGTTGACATTAGCTGAGCTTCTTATGGATCAGTCTACTCAGAAGCCTGCAGCCGGAGATAATGCTGTGACAGTGTCATTTGATGGTCAAACCAATGGTATAGATGTCCATGTTGATGAGCCAACGTTTTCTGTTGGGAAATCACCTCTGCAAGTTGGTCATATTGCTGACGAGCAGGCTTCTGGAGCTGGTGGATTGGGACAGGGTACACCAAAGGTGTGTTCACATGAAATTGAGATTTAAATGGGGTTTTCCTTTTTTTGTGGTACTCATTCTCCTTATTTATCTTTCAACATTATTTTGTCGGAGCTCTTAATTCATGTTGCTTTTGTGTTAGGGTTTTGCCTTAGAATTTGTCGATGAAGTATTTTGCCTTCTGGTTTTGCTTTTTGCTCCTTTAGTCCATTTCCTAAATGCTGGCTTTATCTGATAATTGACTTTCGCTTACTACACTTTGCAGAGTGAGAGGTCAGCTGACATGTTTTGTGACGATATATTTGGAGAATCACCTGCTGGCATCAGGAAATTGGTCAGTCTCTGTCTTTGAAACATTTTGTTTTAGAAACATCGTCTGTGATTTTGGGTTGCTCATTCTTGGATCTTTAGCTTGTGTTGATTTTTAATGTCTAGAGATTCTAGACACTAGAAGTATGCATACTGTTGTGAAATCCAATGTAGCACTTGTTATCTTGGCCATCTCACTGCTTTCTTGTGCCTCTTGATTATATTCATGGGATTATGTGCTGGTATTGTTCTCTCTTTGTCTGTTAGGATATATTGTTGGAGTTCTCTATTAGAGGAATCGTTTTTATACTTTCGAAAGTGAGGTGTGAGCATCCCTTTCTTTCCTGCTGACCCCAAAGTGTCAAAATGGGGAACCATTTTGGAAATGATGGCTACGAAATAGCTTTCACTTTATTATGTTTCTAGCTGAGACTTGAGAGTTGCTCCCTCTGTCGATACTGTGGGGGAGTGTGTCTGTTTATTTTAGTTGTGGTAGACTTTGTAATACACAACAACAACAACAACACAGTGAAATCCCACAAGTGAGGTTTGGGGATGGTAGTGTGTACGCGGACCTTACCCCTACTCCGGAGGAATAGAGAGGCTGTTTCCGATAGACCCTCGGCACAAGAAGATGGAACGAGACTATGCAACAGTAACAACAAAAGAAATCAAAAAGATAACACCAGCAACACAATAACCGGGAAATAGAGAGGAAAGCAATAACACTAAGCAGTAATAATGGCACATTACTACGGACGCAATGGAGTAATATGGACACAACAAGAGCCACTAACATCCTAAGACAAATCACTACCAGACTAGCTTCCTACAACCTAACCTACAACCCTAATGTAGTACTAAGGACACAACTAGAGCCACTAGCAGCGTAGTACAAAACACTATCAGATTAGCCTCCTATCTCCTAACCTATAACCCTAATGCTCGACCTCCACAACTTCCTATCAAGGGCCATGTCCTCGGAAATCTGCAGCTGCCCCATGTCCTGTCTGATCACCTCTTCCCAATATTTCTTAGGCCTCCCTCTACCTTTTGTCATACCCGTCAAGGCCAGTCGTTCACACCTCCTTACCGGGGCATCCAGGCTTCTCCTCCGCACGTGCCCGAACCATCTAAGCCTAGCTTCTCGCATCTTGTCTTCCATGGGAGCCACGCCCACCTTCACCCGAATATCTTCATTCTTAATCTTATCCAGCTTAGTGTGCCCGCACATCCATCTCAACATCCTCATTTATGCAACTTTCATCTTCTGGATATGAGAATTCTTGACTGGCCAACACTCAGCACCATACAACATGGCCGGTCTAACCACCGCTCTATAGAACTTGCCTTCAAGATCCGGGGCACCTTCCTGTCACACAAGACGCTAGACGCTTGTCTCCATTTCATCCACCCCACCCAATACGATGCGTGACATCTTCGTCAATCTCCCCACCCCTTGGATAACCAACCCCAGGTACTTGAAGCTCCCTTTCTTGGGGATGACTTGAGAGGCAAGCCTCACGTCCATGCCCGCTTCTCCCGACCCGTCGCAGAACTTGCACTCCACGTATTCTGTCTTAGTCCTTCTCAACTTGAAACCTTTAGACTCAAGGGTCCGTCGCCAAACCTCCAACCTCTTGTTAACACTGCTTCGCGTCTCATCAATCAGAACTATATCATCAGCGAATGACATACACCATGTCACCTCCCCTTGAATATACCATTCAGTTTAAAGTGTGATGTCTAGGAATAGTCTATTGTTTGAACTCTGGATTCTATAAGTCTCTCTACTTCCTTGCTCCATGCTGCCCAAACAATTACAAAACCGCGGACAACAAGAGAGTGGAAAAGAGGACATTTTTCTTTCTTTGTACTCATACTTGTACTAAAACTGTGGGAAACTTGTCTACTGTGCTTACGTAAAGCCCTTTCCTTGTCTTTGTAATAAGTACATGGATTTCATGCTTCTCTGGTTTTATCTGTTGTCTTTCAGGGCAAAGGAGATGGCGTGGCAGTTCAGCGCAGTGGCCTTCATGATAACTGGGATGATCCAGAAGGGTATTATAGTAAGTATCTCATCTCACTTGTTACCTGGATCCTTGATATTTTAGCTTTTACTTTAGAGCATGCTGGCGCTACTACATTGATACGTGCCACCATATTCCTTGATATATGATCATGATAGCCTCCTTCTCCATGTTAATTGTTATTTGAAGATGCTTGATAAATTTTGAGTAATGTCTGATCAATTCTCTGTTTACTTCTGTTGATTAATCATAAAACTGCTGTTAATTCAGGTCCACAGACACAAAGTGATTACGGAAAAAATGTCATCTCCTGTTTTATATTCCAAGTTGAGATTTATTTTTCTAGTTGATATTATGTCTCCCATCATCGGCGGAGTTCAGAACCGTGCAACACTGACCAAAATAAGATGGTTATTAGGGTCGAAGGGGATTGGGTTTCAATCAACAATTTCTCGGAGTATATTTTAAAAAAAAATTTAAATATCATAATTGGGAAAAGAATGTATAATATAAAGAATAGAGTGGAGATAGTATGAGAGTATTTATACTTTAAATTAATTTTTAAAATAATAAAATAAATAATTTTACACAAAAATAGTAATGATAAATTTAGACAATGAAAGAGTTCTGTGCAAATAGATTAAAAGTATTGTTTGAGGTGATAAAAATATTGAGTTTGAGTTGATCCAGATAATATCTTCGACATAATCTTTTGGAGCTTATACTTTTATATTCGAGAAGTAGGTGATTGAAACCCAATCCACTTAGATCCTAGTAACATCTTATTTTGATATTTTTCTTGATGGCTGGAAACTGTTGTCTTAGTTGATGTCTCATGTCTTCTTGTTTTGCTTGCAGGTTATCGTTTCGGAGAAATTCTTGATGACCGTTATGAGATTGTTGCTGCTCATGGTAAAGGAGTCTTTTCTACTGTTGTTCGGGCTAAAGATCTCAAGGCTAGACCTGGTGACCCTGAGGAAGTAGCAATAAAAATGATACGCAATAATGAAACGATGTAAGCTTTTTTATTTCCCCATTTCGTGCTATCCTTGCTTGTTCTGGTGGCCTAATCGTGCTGTTTTCGTCCTTGTTAGGTATAAAGCTGGTATGGAAGAGTTGATCATTTTGAAGAAGCTAGTTGGTGCAGATCCTGAAGACAAGCGCCATTGTGTTCGTTTTATTTCTAGCTTCAAGTACCGGAATCATCTCTGTTTAGTTTTTGAGTCTCTACATATGAATCTCCGTGAGGTTCTGAAGAAGTTCGGGCGTAACATTGGACTCCATCTCACTGCTGTTAGGGCGTTTTCGAAGCAACTTTTCATTGCTTTGAAGCATTTAAAAAATTGTGGCGTGCTTCACTGTGACATTAAACCCGACAACATGTTGGTAAGTGGATGGTTTGAGTATTCTTCATCTTTCCCCGGGCTAGCTAATTCTCCCACTTCACATCTGCTGAGAGTAGCTTTCTTTACCTTGCTTCCCTTTATCTGTATATGTATTTTGACTTTTCTGTATTTACTTGTTTAGGTAAATGAATCGAAAAAAGTGTTGAAGCTTTGTGACTTTGGTAATGCTATGTTTGCTGGCAAAAACGAAATTACTCCATACCTCGTGAGCCGTTTTTATCGTGCCCCAGAGATCAGTAAGCATCAATTCTCATGATTTGCTTTTTCTTTTTGGGACTTCCCTTTCACTTTGTTTTTTTGTTCAAAGCTCATGATCCTATGTAGTTCTGTGAATCTGTGGTTTTGTTTGATTAAGTTCTGTATTATGTTTTGTTGCAGTTCTTGGCTTGTCGTATGATCATCCAATGGATATATGGTCAGTTGGATGCTGTTTATTTGAGCTTTATGCTGGGAAAGTCTTATTTCCTGGTGCAACTAATAATGACATGCTTCGTCTTCATATGGAATTGAAAGGTCCATTTCCGAAGAAGATGCTTAGAAAGGTTTGTCTTAGACATCCTAATCTAGTTAGAGATTTTTATGATTTGAAGTTATAAGCCTGGTTAATTAGTTGCTGTGGACAATTCTGCTAATGTGATTGCATTAGGTGCTGCTTTTATAGTTTTTGCACCTTTTCTTAGTAATTGACATGATATAGTCAATGTAGAAGCATTAATTCTCTTTGTTCTTCATTTATTTCAGGGTGCATTTACAGATCAACATTTTGATCAAGATCTCAATTTTCTTGCCACCGAAGAGGATCCTGTTACAAAGAAGGTTATTTCTTGTAGACTTTAGCCTGTCTTGTCATTCCTCGATAAACTAACCATTGATAGTCATTAATGATAACGTTACTGTATATTAATTTTGGTTGCAATTGTATACTTCACAGGCTATAAGGAAGCTGATTGTCAACATCAAGCCAAAAGATATCAGTTCAATAATTTCAGGTTCTCCGGGTGAAGACCCAAAGATGTTAGCTCACTTTAAAGATCTTATGGAGAGAATCTTCGTGTTAGACCCAGACAAGAGAATAACTGTTTCCCAGGCATTGAGCCATCCATTCATCACGGGCAAGTGAACGAAAACGATGATTTTCTGCTAGCGACATGCGGTTGCACAAGATACTAGTGCATTGTGATCATATGATCTTAGTTTTTATTCAGTTCTCTAATCATTGGGCCTTATCTGTTTTTATCTATTATCTACTATCTTGAGTTAAGTGCATTGGAGCTTGGCATGGTTGAGGTTGCAGAGAAGATTGTTGACCGTGGGAGATCTATATCTTGGCAGTTCATTCTTTCAGTGGAATGTTTTCTTTTCTATCGTAAGATAACTTGCCAAAGGCGTTTTTCCCTTCTGTACTATTTCTTGATGGTGACATTATAAAAATCTTCATAGATTTTTTAAAAGTTATCATGTCTCAAGTTGTACTTTGGACTCGGGTCCTGAGAGTGGAGAGTAACTTGCGCCAAATTAGATATTGACAGAAGCATGGTTATTCATATGTCTCTGTAAATAAACCTTCTGAATATCTGTTCACTCTGAATTGTTGATGGCGATCTGTCTTTGTCCCTTTCTGTACTTTTAGTTTTCTTGACCTCTTGTCTTCCAATCTGATTTAATTGTTTATTTTGTGGAACTTTACATAGTTTTCAGGTCTTTATCTTAATTGAATATCTTGTCTCTTCATTTTACATACTGTTCAGAATCCTTGGGTCCTGGAAAGTCTAATTTACTTTTTCCTTCAGGATATCTACCAGGGCTCTGAGGCAAGATTCAGTGATTTAGATGCTTAAAAGGCACCCTGGCGAAGGTACCTTGGTTCGTTTGTTAGGAATTACTGTGACACACTTAAAATGTTATGGCTGTTAGCCTGTTCTCGATTCCTCTAACATCAGCTATAATTTTTGTTTCTCCTTTGTGTTAATTTTTAATTTTCTTTTGACAAGTTCTGATTCCTGAACTTTAATTTGGTCTTTCCTGAAAAACTGCATGCCTGAGGGGGGCTTGTTAATGAGCCTCCTTAGGCTAGAATAGTAAATCTATCAAGAGCAAGAGTATTTCTTCTATTTGGAGTCATTGTTGTTTCTTCTATTTCTTATTTCTTTGTACAAAAGCACTTTCTAATGAAGTTGCATTGCATCTGATTCATGGTATGGTCATCCTGGAGCATTGTATGACTGGAGATGATCAGATGCAGCCTTGAAGTGAGAGTTGTTTCAGTGAGTTGTTAATTTTATTTTCTTGCTGTTTGTTCATTAAGAATAATATATTCTAGACCCCGTTGAGATGTGTGGTATTGATATGGCTTTTTGTCTTTGCTAGGGTGTGATTTCATGCATCTGCAATTCTAGTAAGTATCCTTGAATTTTATTACATCTCTGGTGTAATATTTTTGTATCTTTTGAAAACCTGATACTTTTTTTTCTTCAATGTTTTGCATTCAAAGTTTGCTAGTCATCAATGAAAATGACCTACATGGAGCACTCTGATTCAAATTCTTTACTGGCTTTGCTAATAAAATTGGCCATTTTGGATGAAATCTATCTCAAATTTCAGTTGTCCTTTTTCCGAACACTTAATGTTCGTGCCAGATTTTTTGTTATGAAAACAGACATCTGTCTAGCTTGCATTGGAATTTGACATTGTTGTAACTTACAACGTAATTCTTAGTGTCATGTTTGGTTATGCGAATTATTTTACACAAATATTTTTACTTCAAAATAAGAGTTTATTATAAATGATACACAAATATTTTTCTTATGAATACATAAATAAGTTTTATATTACGACTAGTATATGTATACAAGAACTATTAGATATTATTTATTACTGTATTAGTTATTCAAAATAATTATTTTTTTTGTAAAAATATATTGAAATAATTATAATTTGTAACTTATATCTTAAATAATAATCGATACCTTCCAAACTAATACTCCCTCCATTTCAATTTATGTGAACCCGTTTGACTGGGCACGAAGTTTAATAAAAAAAAAAGAAGACTTTTGAACTTGTGGTGTAGAATGAAGCACATATATTTTGTGTGACTATAAATCATTGCATAAAGGTAAATTGTTTCCAAATACAGAAAGGGGTCATTCTTTTTGGCACAGACTAAAAAGGAAATAGATTCACATAAATTGCAACAGAGGGAGTAGTACTTTAACTTGAATGAACTAATAAAATTTGAATAACGAATTTAAACATTTTACCAGCTTATGTGAATATAATAATGAAATTCATGATTTGTTGCAATTTTTAAATTTAAAACTATATAGATACGAGTTTAGAAAATATTTTTCTATAATAAACATATATAGTAATTGATAGAAAACAAAACTAGTAATTAAATAAAATATGAACATTATCTTACACGTCTAATTGAAAGATATATAAAAAATTTAGTTTAGACCTTTTAATAAAACATAATATTTATCAATAATAAATTAAAAGAATAAATACTAATAATTAATAAATAAATCTCCCAAAAGTGAAAAATCTTGTTTGACTAGTCCTAAAGTGAGTTTAATTTATCTCACCAAATGCATAATTAAGCACGTTTGGAACTTAAACATGATCCCAAAGTGTAAAAGGTAAAGGCGTATTCCACACGGCTAAGTATTATATGAAGTTAAGCTTTAAAAAAAGGTGGAATAGAGTTAGCAGCTACATTCACATTTTTTGAGATAAATGTGAGGAGGAAAGAAATGGAAGAGAAAGAGTTGTCCCTTTTTAGTTTGTTTGAAAGAGAAGTGATAATAAGTTAAAAAATCATATACCACCATTCTCCCCTTGAGAATTAGAGAGTGTAATTGCTCTCTCAATTACTTGGTTCGACAAACATGCAAAATGTGTAATTACACCTTATACACCCAAATCTAATTACAAGATGACTTCCCAAACAAGCCCTAGGTGATCTTTTGCTATCTGTAGAAGCCTTGGTGGACAGAGTTACCCGCGACCTTGCTGGTGGAAGGTAGGAGTTATCCGTTGGAATAGCCGAACTACGCACAAGCTGGACCAGTTACCACTGTCATAAAAAAAGTAGGGAGAAGTGTTATCATTGTTTATTTTGTTGCATGTCCCGTTAAACTAATTTTTGTAGCAATTTATGTTTATCTTTCTCCATGGGAAGTAACGACACCTCAAACAAGTTTAAACGAGGACAAACATGTCTTCCCACACGTGGAGAAAATCGAGCGAGCTAGGGAGAGGAGAAGAGGGTTGGTGCTCATGTGTTTTAGGTGGCCATAAGGATATGACTGCAATTAAGAATGAGGAAATGTTTGATTTCTCGATAAGATTAAAAATCTTCTCCGGTATCCATTGCATTTTTCTCCCATCTACACAGTCAAGGAACATTTGACAAGCTTCCCATGTTGTTCTTTTTCCACCTTCTTCAAGGGACAATTGACAAGCTTTCTATGTTATTCTTTATCCATCTTCTTTCAAACCAATGTACTGCTCCCTGGCCAAGCCTTTCCGACTCTCTCTATCCATATTAGTAACAATTTGACTTGGTTATTCATGACAAGCTCCAACTCGTGCAATTTTTTTTCTACTGGATCTATCCATCTCGAGAATGGGACGGAGATGTGATGCATAGCCGAGAGTCTTAGCCTCTCAACGGTTGACTACTATTCGACCAACAATCTCTGTCATTCATGCTAGCAGATTTAGCATTCAAAGTTCAATAGCATTGTCTTTATCCTATCAGCGGTCAACTACTATTTGACTTGCAATTTTTGTGCCTCATGCTAGCACATTCAACGTCCAAGTTCAGTATCATTTTTTTTGGTTTATGGTATATACACTTTGTCACGCTAGTCACTGGCAATCACTTTCGTCATTTGTCAATCTTGCATGTTGCGGGTTTCTATTTTTGTAGTTTTATTATTGCAAAGAAATTTTGCAATTCGAAGCATTCAATCTTTTCTGTTCGTTTTCCTATGTTTCTCGCTAAGTTGCTCGAAACAGCAATTTAGGTGCAGCACCCATTTCGACACGACACTAGTATATGTGTGGATATGGGATTCGTACCGGATCTGGTTAAACAATCTTGGATACTTTGACCACGACGGACGGAGAAATTCGAGATGAGATACAATTTGATTCTCGAAATCAGAACCAAAATTAGGGTAAATTTGAAGACTTATGTATGAAATCAATTCTTTACTTATCTACAACTTGGGAATAAAAAAGAAATCCAAACCTTACAAGCTATAAGTAAATACTCCACAAAATTTCTCATAATTTAGAGATGTTTTCTTATTTTTATGTTTTTGAATTATTTGTAGTCAGATCCCCGTAACCGTACTAGGATCCTTATCCCCGAATCTTAAAATTTACATCTCGAAGAGTCAGACCTTTTGATCTGTACCCGTGTCCGAGCAACTTGGGTTTCTCGTAATTACAAATTCTTTTATTTATTTTTTAGCAGATGTCTTATGTTTATCGTTAGATCTAGTGCGGTGATGGAGTATTTGCGCGGGACGAGAGACATTAAATTGTTTAATTGGGTTAAGACTAAAATATAAGGTTTGTCTTTCAAATTAATCTGAATATAAAAAAATTATTAACAAATATAATTATACCTCATTTGTTAACAAATATAATTATCCCAGCTTATGATGCCCTAGCCGCTCTATCCATAGTCTTAAGTTTTGGGTTGGATGCTTCGTACCTTAGTGGTTCCGTAAGGTTTCCTAGAAGAGTTCCTGCATTAATCCACTCATTACTCAAAGGTTTTGGGTTGGATATTCAGATTCTTTCACATGGTATCAACCCGTTTCCCCAATGTTGTTTCTTTGCTATTCGTTTGCCATTGGCTTCCCTCGCTTTCTCAATTCAGCCTATTGTCCCATTAAGTTTGCTCCAAGATTACAATGTGGTTTGTTGAGCATGGTCACCCTTTAACACATGCTCACTCTTGAGTTTATTTGATCTACCTTTTCTCGTTAACTTTTAGTGCATTCTCGCATGCCACATGTCCATTCTATAGTCTCCTAAAAATATAGAGCAAAACAAAAAGTAAAAAATCTTTAAATATCCACGTCTAAACTTTAGAATTGGGCAACATGTATGTAAGGGTCTTAAGGATACACTTGTCCCTTATTGGTTGTGTAAGTCTTACCAAACATGTCTATAATGTCTTAGGTAACTCCACCTTTTGCCCTTGGACTTGGGTTTGGCTGCTCATTTTCTTTCACTAGGTTTGAAAACTAAACTTTTGTAAGTGCGTTGTCACAAGTGCAATTTTATAGTATTCATTCGCTTTTGGCTTCTCTTTTAGTTTACCTCATTGAGCCATTAGCTTTGCTACAACCCATCTTAATTCTTTGTTTACTCAATGTTGGGGCCCTATATTATGTTGTCTGCATCCCAAGTGTATAGTATCGAGCGTATGAAGAGGAGGGTTTGTTAAGTATCCCACTGTAGGCGCTATCTTTTTAGGTTGAGTTAGGTCTAAGACACATTTTCTTTACACGTTATTAGAACCATACTTTGGTAAGTCTGGTTTTACAACCACAATTTTCTACTATCCGTTAGTTTTGGGCTTCTTTCTCAATCTAGCCGATTGAGCCCCACTATCTTTGTTCTAGGCTTATTTCGTTGAGCATACTATTTCCCCCCAACTTCAGGCCCGTTATTTAGTCTGTTGTTTCTTCTTCTTAGGTACATTTTCCAGTCTTAAAAAAAAGGGTGCAAACAGAAAAAGAAAGAAAAAAGAGATCTTTAGAAATCCACGTGTAAACGCTAAACCCCGGGTGTTGAAGGATACGCTTCCCTTATTGGTTGTGTAAGGGTTTCCAAACGGTGTTTATAATGTTCTGGCCACTCCACCCGTAGGTTTAAGATTTTGGGTTTAATGTGCAAATTTTCTTTTACAAAAATGATGCAATTCAATATTTTAGGGCATACCTATGATGTTACCTTTTCAATGACGAGTCAATTGTACTTGATCTGACTTTTGATCCAATGATTCTTGATCAACTCCCAATTTGAGTTTTAAGAGAATGCTCTGCTTTCCTACTCGAAGTATGAGTTGTGGATTGTTCAACGAAAAAATTTAATGAGCTTTCTAACACCTAGATTTCATGATCAACGAAAGGCACTAATGTAGAAACTTTAAATAAAAATGTAATGGCAAAAAAAATAAATTAAAACAACATACCCAGTGTAATCCTACAAGTGGAGTCTGGGGAGGGTAGAGAGTACGCAACCTTACCCCTACCTTGTGCAGGTAGAGTCTGTTTCCAGTAGACGTTCGGCTCAAAGCAAGCATGCATAATCACAATAGTATAAAGAAAAGATATGCAATAGTGAAAAAGTCAAAGACGCAATAACGACATTATAATAGTTAAATCGAAACTCAACATCGTCAGATAGTAATGGAAATATAACAATTTGTAAATACGAGAATAACACTACCACTACTTGGGTGGAAGGAAAGACGCTCGACTCCTTATTGTCTTTCTACCTTGATTCTCGATCTCCACACTCTCCTATAAAGGGTCATGTCCTCGGTAAGTTGAAGATGCGTCATGTCTTGCCTAATCATCTCTCTAAGTACTTCTTCGGCCTACCTTTACCTCTTCTCATGCCCATTATAGTCAATCTCACATCTCCTCACTAGGGCATTCATACATCTCCTCTTCACATGTCCGAACTATCTCAACCTGACTTCTTGCTTCTTGTCCACCACGGAGGCGACACCTATCTTGCCCCGAGTAACTTCATTTCTAACCATATCCCTTCTAGTATGCCCACACAACTAGCATTGTCGTCTTTGCCACTTTCATCTTCGGGACATGCGAGTTCTTGACAGACCAACATTTCGCCCCGTATAATATAGTCGGTCTAATCACCACTCTGTAGAAGTTACCTTTAAGTTTCGGTGGAACGTTCTTATCACACAAGACACCAGATGCTAACCTTCATTTTATCCACCCGCACCAATAGGATGCGTTACATCCTTCTCGATCTCCGTGTTAGCCTTGTATTATTGACCCAACGCATTTTGAAATTTCCTCTCTTGGGGATGATTTGTGAATCCAACCTCACTTCCATGCCAACCTTCTGAATCACGTCACTGAACTTGCACTCCAAATAATCTATTTTAGTCCTACTCAAGCTGAAGCCTTTAGACTTTAGAGTTTGCTTCCAAACCTCCAGCCTAGCCCTAGCGTTTACTCTGTTTCGCGTCTCGTCAATAGGTACTATGTCATTTGCAAACAACAATGTACCATGGAACCTCCCCTTGAAATTAAAATGTCAATTGAGTTCAAAAACTGTTCAGGTTCATTTAGATGTGCATATGTAATTTTAAGTTTTAAATGGCTAATTTTGTTTTATTAAATTTCTATTTCTTATTCCTAATCAGTAAAAAGCTTATTCGTAATGTCTTTTAAGAATAATAAGATCATTTTAGAAACTAAATTTGTTGTCATGATGCCCCAAAGAGAGCCCATGAACGATCAGTCATATGCCTTAGCACTTTGGTGCTTACATTGGAGTGCTGCCTAAAAGTGAAGTGCTCAACTTAGGTTTCAACTAGATTTAGGGTTAAGTATGCCTCAAGTGAGCATTCAAAGATAAGTTGCTCTTGCATGTGCTCATTCACCTCCCTTCCTAAATAATGGAACTATTTTAAAGCTTAGTTAAATATCAATTTTCATTGGATATGAGTGCGCATTGTTAATCGTGTCAATCACCCTTGAATGAAAAAGGAAAAACGAGTGACATTGCATTGGTTGGATGCCACTAATTGGTCTACATTGCTTAGTTGTTGTATTGAAGGTAAAATAAAAGAGATTTACGTGCGCTGGCTTCACTTATTTGAGGAACCGAAAGATTGATGTGGTTGTGAAGGTGTACATTGTCCTCTCTAAGTGGAAGAAAAAAAATCCTTCCACTTTGATTTTACACCCTTTCACTCCAGACAAGAGTAAAGTCTCGTCACTCCTAGTGTTTGCTTTATACACGTTAAGCAAATTAAGCTGGGAAATTACTAGTATGCTGATTATTGTGTTGGCGTTTGGTATCTAGGGTGTACTCCACCGTAAAACCCCACATCCTTTTTGTCCGTTATCATTCCGAAAACACAAGAAGCTTGCCTGTAGGTTTGAGGTAGCATCCATAAAACATAAAAGTGAGGATATTGTGGTAATGTAGCTATTTTTGTCGAAGTTATAACATATGTTTTGACATTTTGGATTTAAAAGAAATTTGTGCCCCGTTTAGGTGGACCATTAACTCTAATGCATAACTTGACTTGATTTTGGCCAACTTTTTTGAGCTTACTTTAGATGCCATTAGGAGTCACTTTAAATGACTCGCTTTGACACCTCCTTGGTTTGAATGACCCCCATTGTTTGTGGGTTGCTTCTCTAATTATATATCTTTGACGAACCATTCACTTACCTGTTTCTCTGTCTTAATTGACCTACACGGAATCTTTGGTTTCTCAAACTGCTAGCATTCCTTTCATGTGTATTTGCTGTTCTTCAACATTCTTGTGTCATTTTAAAAATAAATTTAGAATCCATTGAAACCTGTGGATGTAGTGTCCATTAAATTCAGATTTTAATCCGTAAGTTCCATTTCTTTGGACTCAACCAATGTGGATTTAATATAGCAGTCCTAATATATTAATTTTCAAACTTAAAAATGTGTGATAGTTGACATTACAAATCACTTTTATTGGTAATTTGGTATAATAGGTGGTGACATCATCCATTNGGAGGGGAGCATTTAACATGTTAATTTTGCCAATGATGATCTGAACTAGTTTGCTGACGGAGATGGACAGTTCCCTGGTGAGAGATGTCAAGATCAGATGGTGGTTTAAATGAGGAGAATAATTAATCTATGATGCCTCATGGGGAACCATCTAAAATAGGCTAAGAAACTGAAATCTTTTCAAAAAAGGCTCAGAAATATGCAGTGAAATTTACTAGAATTTGGACCTTCATTGAAATCCATTTAATTGTTGCCCTGCTGAATGTGCACAAGGGATGCATAGGCCGAAAACATATAGGCAAGCCCTTATGGTCCTCCTTTTAAAAAAAAAAAATGAGGCCCTTAGGGGTTTCAATTCATGGATTAGGATTCAGATGCATGTTTGAATTGCTGCCTTGTGTTTTGAAAGGGAAGAAATGTGCTGATGAAGTAAAGTTTTTTTCTTAAATATTTTGGGATTATTATTATTTAGCTTTGCTCTATCCACTTTTGTTGTTAAATATTCGTCAGCACCATTCGCTGCACCAATCTGTCTTAGGAAACTTTTGTGGCTAGAGCATTCGTTCTTGTTAGTAATGCACACTTCATTTCATTTGTGTTGTCGGGTTATGGTGGTTAAGAATTGGGATGATCGTCTTGTTGTGGAACTTGTTAACTGACGTTTTTGTAAATTGTTGAATGTTTGCATTGTGACTTGATTCCTTGCAAAACCGTGGATTCTGTTGAGATGCTAGTTATGGATTATAATGATATTCATGATTTAGCTAGCCTAAGTTCCTTTGGAGTTGGAGAAAGTAGTCTGTATTGGTTTGCTTAAACTGGTGCTCCAGTTGCATGCTGCTCTAATGCTGAAGTATACCTGCGTTCGCCGGGCTTCTGTAGCCTTAGTAGTGCAATTCTCAGTTAAGCAAGCTCGCTGATATTTTTAGGGCTGTGACTCTGTCTACTCTAGTGATTTTTGTCGTTCAGCTATAGGCAAGGCTTCTGTTGATGTTCGCACTTAATTTATATCAGTTAAAGAGTTTTTATGTATCCCTTTCACTGATAATGTGAGTTTACATTTCTCTTAGTTGGAAGTTGCAGAATCTCATTGAACATTCAGGTTAAAAGAATTAAAGCTTATATCAGATGCAAATATCAAAAAGAACCCTGTGGCCAGTAAAAGCATTTTTAAATGCAAATGAAGCGGACTTTGTTGTAATGTGTTAATAAAAACAGAAAAGCTTAAATATTTATGTAATTCTAAGATAGCTTATGAGTGATAAAAGGTGCAGTATGCAAATTCTTTATTTTGTTCAGATCGCAGTGATTAAGTGCTTATCGTACGACATTTTCGCTATATTGGTCTGCACATATCAAATCTTTGGTGAGAAATCAGTTAGATTAAATGCATATTCATGATTTTCAAGTGGTCTGCTCATATATGAAGACCTATGCGCTGATCTGCGTATGCAACTGTTAATTCGTGAATCTTCGGAAAAATAAAATTTACGAGGATGTTGCAGAGAATGTGATTATCCACCACAAGGCGAATTAAATTAATTATCTTCACGTATTTTCACATCTCATTGTAGGAGATCAATAAATCATTTACACTGTGCTTATCTTTTATATTGGAATTTTTGTATTATTATATAATTAATTTGAAATTTTCATATATAACGATATAGCAGAAGAAGATGCACAATAAATGACATTTGCTATGTCAATGACGCCAATGATATTGACTGAACGGTATCGAATATCTCGATCCATTTTTAATGTGCTTAAACTCGAATCAATATTCGACACTTAAAAAAATATATATTGCCCTATTGAGTAAGGGTCGCGTTTGCCATTATATCTAGATGATGAGGTGAGGTATAAGTAGCATCAATAGCAAAGAGGTTGGATATTAGTTATTCGAGTGGAAAGATTCAATTGAACTTAAGTCAGTCATGAATTGTAATGCACTGTTATGAGTTGCAAGCCGATACCGATCCAACCCTGGCTAGGAACACATAAATATATAATGGTGGTTGCGACGTGAGGAGCCAGGATTTGAAGCTTATAGGTCTTTTTAAAGTTGTTATTTTTTATACTAGTAATTTGTATATATGTAGTGCATATATTATGACAAATACATGATTTGTATCAAAGTTATTGGGTTTACTCGAACCCGTAACCGTAAGGCTAGCTCTGTCCCAGACCTAGACTAACTTGTATATCTCAAGATATTCCTATCAACGATGAATAATATAATCAAGAGATATTAGGAAACTTCGTATCACTATAGAGAAAAGATTGTAGTCTTCAATTTCTTTGAAAGATGGGAGCTCCGTTGCCTGCCTGTTTTTTCCCTTCCCCTTTTGAGTCTTTAAACTTGCCCTGTGGATTTTATTATTGTACGGGATAAACTTGGTTAGCGACATCGAATATAAATATGTGTTCGGTGTTGTATAAATTCCGAAGGCATGAGAACCGACAACGAAGATTTGTAAAGAAGATATCTGTTGAGAAGAGACAATATTCAATGAGCAGCTGTTACAAAGAATCTTTGTATTAATAACCAACCATTATGCAGTCATCAATGTCGGTTTTATTCTCATTCAAGAAGAGATTGATTTGAGGATCTTGTCTCCCTGACTAGAGCTATAAATAGGAGAATTTGTTTCCGTAGTTGGACATGAAATATTCTGTACGTAAAAGCTAAAATTAGCTCTTATTCTATCAAACTGCTTTCTTTGTTTTATTCTTAATATTATTCTTGTGTTGCTATCGGAGAAGCTAAACTCATAGCCATGCTTGTATTCCCTTTAAGTCATTTTAATAATTTTATTTTTGTTCTTATTTATTTCATATTTCTGGATCAAATTAATTTACGTGTCTATAAATCACGTTACAAATTTAATTGTATCGTTTTACGGGTAAAAAATTATTTCTCTCAAACAAAAACCTTTCTTGTAATATTAATCTAGGATTACCTAATTGATATTCCATGAATGTCTGAACCTTCTGTGGTAGCCTTTGGTTTGATTTCATATTTTTAGGTACAATTCTTAGTAAACTTGCTCAACGGTCCCACAACGGACTATTTGGTTATTGCTGAGAGTTACAGGATGTTTAATTAGACTTATAAGGAGGTACGATGTTTCCAGGAAATGTAGTATTCCAAATTAATAAGATCTTCTGTATATCATCATGTTTGGTAACATGTTCACGTCCAAATGGGACTCAAATCCCTTAACATGAGCTTTGAGACTTTGCATTTAAGGGCGTGACATAATAGTTAATGAAATAGATTAAGAATACAACGAAGTCAGAATTTGAAGTTTTGCGGGTTTTGATCTGTCACCGAACTCATAATTTATTTTAGTTATCAGATTCAAAATTAAATATTTATACATATTTAATGAATTTTCTAAGACAAATACAGAGTTTAATCAAAATTTATTGAGTTCATCCGAACCCGTAAAGAATATTGTGGCTTCGCGCATGGATAAGAACCATGAGGTCTCAGGTTTAAATTTCAAGTGGAGGAAAAACACCAGGTGATTTCTTCCCATTATTCTAAGTTTTTGTGGATAGAGTTGTCTGATACCTCTACCGGTGAGAGTAGCAGGTGTTGAGCTTTTTTGTTTTTAAGATAAAATAGTCTTAAAATGAGGGTGAATGGGAAATAGATTTTCTAAGACAATCTGAATGCAATGGTTGTGGAAAACAATAATAATATTTCAGCTTCTTCTTATTTACTTGAGTCAAATGATTTATGGCATGTACGTTTGGGTCATGTCAATTATAAAACCTTGCGGAAAATGATTAACTTGGAAGTACTGCCTAAGTTTGAATGCGAAAAATCAAAATGTCAAACATGTGTGGAATCTAAGTATGTTAAACATCCTTATAAGTCAGTTGAAAGGAATTCAAATCCTTTAGACTTAATTCACACAGATATTTGTGACATGAAGTCAATACCATCTCGCGGTGGAAAGAAGTATTTCATAACTTTTATTGACGATGGTACTCGATATTGCTATGTTTACTTACTGAATAGTAAAGATGAAGCAATAGACGCATTCAGGCAATACAAAAATGAAGTTGAAACGCAACTTAACAAGAAAGTAAAAATGATAAGAAGTGATAGGGGTGGTGAATATGAATCTCCTTTTGAAGAAATATGTTTAGAATATGGAATTATTCATCAAACAACAGCCCCTTACACGCCCCAATCTAATGGGATTGCGGAAAGAAAGAATCGCACATTAAAGGAGATGATGAATGCGTTGTTGATAAGTTCTGGTTTGCCACAGAACTTGTGGGGGGAAGCCATTCTTACGGCTAATCGAATATTAAATCGAGTGCCCCATAGCAAAACACAATCCATTCCTTATGAACAATGGAAAGGAAGGAAGCCCAACTTGAATTATTTTAAAGTGTGGGGGTGTTTGGCAAAAGTGCAAGTTCCTAAACCCAAAAGGGTAAAGATAGGACCGAAAACCGTTGATTGTGTTTTCATAGGATATGCGACAAATAGTAAAGCATATCGATTTCTGGTTCATAAATCAGAAAATCCCGACATTCATAATAATACGGTTATAGAATCAGATAATGCTGAGTTTTTTGAAAATATATATCCGTATAAAAAGGAATGTGAGTCGTTTGGTGAAGGATCTAAACGACCTCGGGAAGAAACAAAAGAAAGTACATGTAATCAGGAGAATCCAAGACGTAGTAAACGTCAAAGAACGTCTACTTCATTTGGACCAGATTTTGTGACTTTCTTATTGGAGAATGAGCCTCAAACATTTAAAGAAGCTATGACTTCTTCGGAATCATTGTTTTGGAAAGAGGCAGTCAATAGTGAAATAGAATCCATATTGAACAACCATACATGGGAATTGGTTGATCTTCCTCCTGGAAATAAACCTTTGGGTTCTAAATGGATTTTTAAGAGAAAAATCAAAGATGATGGCACTATTGATAAATTCAAGGCAAGGCTCGTAGTCAAAGGGTATAGACAACGAGAAGGTCTAGACTACTTTGATACATACTCTCCAGTTACAAGAATTACGTCCATACGGATGTTAGTAGCATTAGCTGCAGTGTATGGTCTTGAAATTCATCAAATGGATGTTAAGACGGCCTTCTTAAATGGAGAGTTGGAGGAAGAAATTTACATGGAACAACCTGAAGGGTTTGTGGTTCCAGGTAAAGAAAAGAAGGTATGTAGACTTGTTAAGTCTCTTTACGGACTAAAACAAGCACCCAAACAATGGCATGCGAAATTTGACCAAACAATGTTGTCAAATGGTTTTAAGATAAATGAATGTGATAAATGCGTGTACATTAAAAATGTTCCAAATCACATAGTCATTGTTTGCCTATATGTGGATGATATGTTGATAATGAGTAATGACATTGCCAACATAAATGCTACTAAGCGTATGCTCAATAGCAAGTTTGATATGAAAGACTTGGGAGTTGCTGATTTAATTCTGGGAATTAAGATCAATAAGACTCCTCAAGGTCTGGCATTGTCACAATCTCATTATATTAAGACAGTACTTGAAAAATTCAAGCACTTGGGCTTTAAAGTTGCAAAGACTCCAATTGACGTGAATCTTGCATTAGCAAAGAACAAAGGCCAAAGCATATCACAATTGGATTATGCTCGTGTATTGGGATGCTTAATGTATATCATGAATTGTACACGACCAGACATAGCTTGTGCTATAAGTAAACTGAGTCGATATACGAGCAATCCAGGCCAATCTCATTGGATGGCAATGAAACGAGTTTTGGGATATTTAGAACATACCCAGAACTTTGAATTGCACTACAGTAATTTCCCTGCGGTGATTGAGGGATACTGTGATGCAAATTGGATCACCGGTTCAACTGATTCTAAGTCCACGAGTGGATATGTATTCACTATTGGTGGAGGAGCGGTATCTTGGAAGTCGTCCAAACAAACATGTATTGCCCGCTCTACAATGGAGGCTGAATTCATAGCCTTAGATAAAGCCGGTGAAGAAGCTGAATGGCTCCGGAATTTCTTGGAAGACATTCCATTTTGGCCCAAACCGTTGGCACCAATATGCATACATTGTGATAGTCAAGCGGCAATTGGAAGGGCTGGGAGCGTCATGTATAACGGTAAATCTCGTCATATACGACGAAGACATAAAACCGTTAGGCAATTACTCTCTAGAGGAATTATCA